TAGGATAAAGACCAAAATACTTAACTACAAACTCTCCAGGACCTTCTTAAGGATTCGGAACTCAACGACCAGGTTAAATACTGATTGTGTAGATGTACTTATCTGGCAACTTAACTGAGCAGCATAAATTGAAGAGCCCATGCTCCTTAGAGAGCATAGCTGTTGACCAGATCCAGCTGAGTGTCGTCATCTGAAAATAGACTTTGGGTGTTGCCATGGCCTCTAATTTTTCAAGAGAAATGAGAAAGCCAGACTTTCATGTGAAATGCTGGCAACCAATTCAAACTTTTCAAACAACAATTAAGGAGGCCCAATCTGACTTCTAATCTAGTCTCTTCCCCTAACCCCACACCAATAAATCATTACGCCAGCTAAACTGATCATTTCTCATGTCCTCAATGATGCCAAGCTTTTTTACCTTAGGCTCTCACACATTTGTGTCTTCTGCTTTGACCTTTTTCCCACATCTCTGGCTTACTTAGCTATCTCCAACTTAATTCTAAGTATCTTAGCCATTGCTTCTTCAAGAAAGCCTTCCCTGTTCCCACTATACCCCCACCACACACTCCACAAGACCATTATATGGTCTCATAGCACTAAACACAACCTCATAACACTCACCACACCTCTGTAATGCCCATAATCCTTGCCTACATGGGAAAAAGCAGGGCCTGACACACAGTAGAAACATAATATACATTTGTTGCTAACTAATTTGGTTATTAATATTCCTTTAGACTTTTTTAAAAATAGTAATTAATCTATACTCAACTTTTCAGAAACATGTATAGCATTTAAAGGTAAGTAGACTCAGAATTCAAAAATTCAACTGAAACTAATTACTGATAATAATAGAAGTTAACATTTATCAAGCACTTACTAAATACTAGGAACTAAGTTGAACACTTTGCATGTGCTATCGTTCAATACGACAATCTGTAATGTAGATGTCACTATCATGTAGAGGAACCAACTTAGGCATAGAATTCAATATTTACTCAAGCAAGTAAAAGCTATACTAAACTAATTCATTAATAAAGAAAAGCTGATTCAACAAGTACCCTTGATTACTGTGAATAAGAAATAATGGCTATGCAAAGCAACCTGAGAAGGAAGAATAAAGCTTGGGGGATTATGCTCCTTGACTTCAAGCTCCACTACAAAGCCACAGTAATCAAGACAATTTGGTACTGGCACAAGAACAGACTCATAGATCAATGGAACAGACTAGAGAGCCCAGATATAAACCCAAGCATATATAGCCAATTAATATACAATAAAGGAGCCATAGATAGTCAATGGAAAAATGACAGCTTCTTCAAAAACTGGTGCTGGCAAAACTGGACAGCTACATGTAAGAGAATGAAACTGGACTACTGTCTAAATCCACACACAAAAGTAAACTCAAAATGGATCAAAGACCGGAATGTAAGCCATGAAACTATAAACACTTAGAAGAAAACATAGGCAAAACTCTCTTGAATATAAACACGAGCAACTTCTTCCTGAACACATCTCTCAGGCAAGGAAAACAAAAGCAAAAATGAACACATGGAACTACATCAAACTAAAAAGCTTCTGTACAGCAAAGGACACCATCAACAGAACAAAAAGGCATCCTACAGTATGGGAGAATATGTTTGTAAATGACATATCCGGCAAAGGGTTAACATCCAAATATATAAAGAACTCACATGCCTCAACATCCAAAAAGCAAATAACCCGATTAAAAAATGGACAGAGGATATGAACAGATACTTCCCCAAAGAAGAAATTCAGATGGCCAACAGGCACATGAAAAGATGCTCCACATCGCTAATCATCAGGGAAATGCAAATTAAAATCACAATGAGACCCCACCTCATGCCAGTTAGGATGGCCAAGATCCAAAAGACAAGGAACAACAAATGCTGGCAAGGAGAAAGGGGATCCCTCCTACACTGTTGGTGGGAATGTAAATTAGTTCAACTATTGTGGAAAGCAATATGGAGGTTCCTCAAAAAACTCAAAATAGAAATACCATTTGACCCAGGAATTTCACTCCTAGGAATTTACCCAAAGAAAACAAGAACACAGATTCAAAAAGACATATTGCACCCCTATGTTTATTGCAGCACTATTTACAATAGCCAAGATATGGAAGCAACCTAAGTGTCCATCAGTAGATGAATGGATAAAGAAGATGTGCTACATATACACAATGGAATATTATTCAGCCATAAGAAGAAAACAAATCCTACCATATGCTACAACATGGATGGAGCTAGAAGGTATTATGCTCAGTGAAAAAAGCCAGGAGGAGAAAGACAAGTACCAAATGATTTCCCTCATTTGTGGAGTATAACAATAAAGCAAAACTGAAGGAACAAAACAGCAGCAGACTCACAGACTCCAAGAAGGGACTAGTAGTTACAAAAGGGGAGGGGTGGGAGAAGGTGGGTGGGGAGGGATGGAGAAGAGGATTGAGGGGCATTATGACTGGCACACATGGTGTATGGGGGGTCACGAGGAAGACAGTGTAGCACAGAGAAGAGAAGTAGTGACTCTGTGGCATCTTACTATACTGATGGACAGTGACTGCAATGGGGGGTGGGGGGACTTGATAATATGGGTGAAAATAGTAACCACAGGTTTTCATGTGAAACCTTTCATAAGTATATATTAATGATACCTTAATTTTAAAAAAAAAGAAATAATGGCTATGATTTATTTTCCATTACTTATCCATTAAAGTTCTTCATCCTTCTGTCCTGCCTTCACCACACACACAAAATTAAGATAAATTATCAATTTCTATTTTCCAAATAAAGATTTTTTTGTACCGTACCCAAAATAGGTATGATCTCTGTACCAACTTTTAAAATGCTATCTTTCTGCATTATTTTTAAATAAGTTGTTTATACATTAGTTGTATGTTTTATGTCTCACATTTTACACTCATTATTTGCATTATCTCTAATTTGAAACATACCTCATTGCTCAAATTAGGATTCTTATCACTACAGACTGTGTTTTCAGATATGGTAAGAGCCAACCAATACTAAAGGTATGCTTTAAGCAAATACAAAATAAACTGATAAAACCACCAAAGTAATACAGGGATCCCTTACTACCTGAACTCTATTTGAATTACTGCTATCCAAAACTGAGGAACTAAATAGATTTTAATAAATTCTCACATATATCACTTGATATCCTGACTCTTAATTTCCAAAAGTCAGGATTTGGCTCACTCACCTTCCCTTGCTATCAGAACTCAGTAACAAATCTCTCACTCCAAACTCAGCTACCCAATAGTTTCGGAGAACAAGACACAAGGCTACATATTCATGGGCTCTATAAATTTAGGAACTATTGTTTAAGAAATTTAAGTAGGCTTTTTAAAATGTAAATCAAATGCACAATCTGTATTTTCATCCAAATTTTAAATTTTACCTCCACTTACCTGAGACTTTTTCTATGTGAATGTTTTTAAGCTAGAATGTTGTCATACATATTTTTAACATTTAGGCCACATTTAAATGTAAAGGAAACTGTCCAGTACATGATACATCACTGTAACAACCAAGTTAAATAAAGTTAATGAGTAAGTGGCTGTCAAACAGCTCTAACGTCAGTCAAAACTTTTTATCAAATATTTATGATAGCTTATATAAATAGCATGGGAAATAAGGTTTTCAAGAACAGCAATATTTTCAGTGTTAATTTTTCAGTAACATAGTTCACAGATCACATCAGATTTTGCTTGAAGTCACAAAGAACAAAGGACAAAAACAGTTTCAAAAGGGTACAGAAGCTGAAAATGATGGCAAAATTTCGAAGTTAATTTAGTTACAGAAGAATGACATTAAACAATTTCAAAAGTAGCTAATCTATAAGGTTTGAACAAAAGTCAAAGAATCGGTAAGCAAATGGTAAATTAACTAGATTGAAAAAAGGAAAAACCTGCTCTCATTACAACAGTGCATTTTCCCAAGTATTTAACTTAGTCTCTTTGAACCTAAGATTTTTCAAAACCTCATGCTTGAATGTCAGTTGAAAACAGAATTCAAGCTTATGGGTTTTTTCACATACACAAAAATGATTTTAGGAAATAGAGAAATGATGGGAAAGATTAAACAAGTAAAAAAAAATTGTAGGTTTGAGAAAACTACAGTACTTTACCAAACTCTTCTTTTGATATAAATTACATGATTTACAGGCATTGTAACTAGAGCTCTCATTTCATCCTAATTTGGCTATACTCTATGAAGAGCTCACTTCAGATTTAATGATTTGAAAGAATGTGAACTCTTTAATCAACCAGATTCTAATAGTTAACACACTCCATTTCTCACTTAAAAATTAAAAATAACCAAATCTTATCTACAAGACTCACAAAGTGAAATGACTTAAGATTCAGTGTCTTTAACTTATACTGATTCCATATAGAATGCCAAAAACACATTTCCTGAAAATAAAAACAGGATTTTTTACATGTTAAGAAATTACAGGTTCTATTCTGTTCATGTCTGTCTTTCTAAAAAGCTAGGATTCACTACTAAGTTTTAACTACAAACCAGAGAATGACAGTCCTTTGGGAAAGAAGGAACCCATAGGAGCTGTCAGGAGTCAATGGATTATTTCACAGGGCGGTACACTCACTGAATGTAACACATTCTTAATAAATGAAGGCGCAGCATGTCACTATTTCTTCAGATTAAGTTTTCATATCTCCATTATTCCCAACTGTTCACATCAGACACATCTCTAAGCACAGATGTTTCTCCTACATAGAAGGAGCTGGACTTTAGATGGAGTTCTAGGAGCCCTTGCAGTCTATGGTCCTATTCAACCAGTTTTGATATAACAACACAACTCTTATATATCAGGGAATACATCTCTCACTCCAAGATGCTACTTCGTCCAGCGAAGAAAAAAAGGAAATAAGAGAGATTTGGTGCAATGAACCATACGTTGGTCTAACCAATGTTAATATCAGAAATTCTGAGATAACAAACCTGTGTCTATGTTCATCAGGTCCATGGATCAGGAAGCCTCCAGGGTTTTTAGCCGCTCTGCTGGCATCTACATGAGGAATTAACACATCTTCCAAACCCAGATCAAAGCGTTTGTGTTTTGAAGAGTCTGGAAGGAAGAAGAATGCCCCAAAACACAGGGTGATGAAGGCACTTAGAATAAGGAGTAGGATAAACTTCTCAGAAAGTCTCAAGGTAGCCCTGTGATGTGGGAATGAAGGCGGCCCCAAATTCAGAGGTGGTATCCTTCGTCCAGACAGGGGCAGCAAGGCTGGGGTAGTCATCGTTTTCACTCTTGGACAAAATATTTTATGAAGTTCTCATCTTATATCGTATGTACAATGCATGGAACCGTCTTCAAAATCTTGGTAAAAACGGGGAAACTCAAAATTTCTCCTCTTGAAGGACTGTTGTGCTTTTTAATAGGGCACCTCTTTCACGCTCGTCCAATTACATTCAGAAACGTATGTGGCCCCGAAGCGATCACTAGTTTATGTCCTGTTATGTATTTCCTTTTCCATATGGCTTTCAGTACCTCATCGGATACTTACAAGTCTCCTTTTCATCCCTAAGGATAGATCAATCAAGCAACACTGCGGAAGGCATGCAAGGTGGGTTCTTTCATTCCTACACCCCAGAGATGCTCCAACGTGGCCTCCTACCCCAAAATGGAGCCAGGCCAATTCGAGTTGCAGAAGATTCACTTAACAACCTCTGATGCTTCGACTCCAGAATCTTTAAACCTCAGTAGTGGAAAAATAGGGGTGTCCTCCTAAGTCGGAGGTGTCCCACCTCTCCAGGAAGCCAAAGCAGCGGCGCCGGGCGAAGTAGCAAGAGGAAGGTCTCGGACGCTCGCGCCTCCCGACGCTGCCGCTCAAATCCGGACGCCGGGGGGAGCTCCGACGCTGCCACTGGACGGCCGGGACGGAGAGCTTTTGCGACCAGAAGACTTGAGCCCTCCAGCCACCGCCGCCGTGGCTACCGCACGGGTCTGTCAACGAGCGGAACTTCCTACTCGGCGGCCACTGAGAAGCCCCGGCGTGTGCGGGGGGAGGGGAGGCGCGGCGGCCGCCCCCGCCCGGCTGCTCCTCCTCCTCTCCGCGGCCGGTTAAGTTAACCCCGGCGCCTGCTCCCCGAGCGAGGCCGCCGCTGACCCCGCCGCTCCCGGCCGCGGTGACCGAGCCCCCGCGGCCCCGCGGCGTGGGATGAAGCCGAGCCGCGGCCTCTCGGCCCAACAGCCCCAGGCGGGCGCCTGCTCATTCCTCGCTCAGCCCTGGGGAGGCGGCGGCCCCGGGCGCGCGGGAGCAGCCGAGCCTCGGGCGGGCAGAGGTCGGCTCTGTCCTTCCTGCCCCGCCGCCGGCCGCCGTGGGGGCCTCCTCCGCGCAGCCTCCGGTCGCTCGCAATTGCTCGCTCTGGCGGCGGCGGCCGCTGCACGAGAGGCAGCGCGTCCACGCGGAGCAGTGCTGCGGCCCGGTCCTCGTCCTCGCCCCCCTTGGCCGGGAGAGCTCAGGAAGGCAGGAGGCAGACCCCCGGTAGCAACACGTCTGAGAGGGACCCGAGGGGCGGGGGCGCGGGCTGGCCTCCGGGCCCCGACTCACGAGTGGGCGTCCCCGGGCGCCGGGTGTGAGGTGCGCGCGCACGCTCTCGGCCCCGCCCCGCCCCGCCCCGCCCGGCCCGGCCCGGCCCGCGCTCCTCCCTCGCGCCGCTGCGGGCTCCGGCGCCCGCTCGCCAACCGCGCGCCCCCCGGAAGCGTCCTCCCAGCCGCTGCCTGGGCGCGCGGTGGAGGAAGGTGGCCGTTCTGCGCTTCGCTGATAACTTCACCCGTGCCAGGCGCTTGCCATCGCCAGTTGGTGGGATTGACCCGGTGTTTGGGAGAGAGGAGGGCTCGGTCCGCGAATGTTTCACTGCAGTTAAGGGTTGTTGGAATTCAACGGGTTTTGACAGTCAAAGCTAACGTAATCTTGCTCTGTGGAAGTCCTGTCTTCAGTTATAGAGCACTGGTACTTAAGACTCAAAGACAGAATCTCAGACTTCTTCCATGCTGCCCTTGTGCACGTTGTTGGGCCCCAACCATGTGGCAGACTCTGTGTTAAAATGGCGACTCTGCCCTTTCAATAGGTTCCCTAGCCGAGGAATCTGTGACATCAGCTTGTGTGACCACAGTCTCCTCATGGTTCAGTTTGTGGAAGACGTTCGCCCATCATCCGCACAGTCCTCACCAGCCCCCCTCCAATAGAAGAGTAAGTGTGAATGTGGAAGTGCTAAAACACAAAAAGACAACAACAGTTTAAATTAAGGCTTAAAAGTAATGAGTCTATTCTGTTATCCCTAATATTGAAAAGAACCGTCTTGTGATTGTGTGAAAAAAATTATTGGTATATATATATATATATATGTTCTCGCTTCCAATTTACTTTAGATGGTTTTTAATTCTAATAAGTTCTCATTCCACCTACACATCCTTATAACTGGGAATTGTAGAGGAGGCCCTTAAATGGCAGAGGAAGAAAACCTAAAAATCAAGCAAAAAAATCCGCGTGTTTATTGTCACAATTCAAAGTACATTCCAGTCTGTCCTATTTCCAGAAACTCTGCATATCTACCTACCATATGAACAAAAGAAGTCATTGTCTTCACCAAATAAAACAGGTAAAAATGTTGAGGACCACCTCACACAATTTCACCCAGTCAGGCTGACAATGAACAGTGCCCGACCCAAAGTGAGATTTGTGTTGGACGCTTGTTAAGAGTGAATGTAAGAAGATCCCTGCCTTCCCAGTGTGTCTTCATAAAATGTGCCGATTTTATGAATAAGGTTACAATGCTGAGCCTCTCTGTAAGCCAAAGGAAAAGAAACACTTTGTTGAGGTCATTATTTTCCATGAAAAGATAGGGGGAAATAAATACTGAATGAAATAGCAAGTTATGTAAATCTTGAAAAGTAAACATTATCTAGGTTGACACTAAAATTGCTAACCATGAAGATATCAATCACATGAAACCTGCCATAACCTAGTTGACAAGTGCGACTTAAGCAGGCTCAACCTCATAGCTGGTGGACATGGGTTATATATGCCTCTCCCTCTTTCTTGCCCTTGCGTGTTTTGCAAAATTCATTCCTCATTCAGGAGAGTAAAAACATCATTATTTAAATGAGGGGTTATGGCAGATATCCAAATGTAGTCTGCAATTCTGAGGCCCTTGATGATGCTATGATTTATTTCATTTTTATCCTATACCAGCATCAAAAGTATTCTGTGTGTGTGTGTGTGTGTGTGTGTGTGTGTGTGTTCTCTTCTACAGTTCCTCTCAAATGAGTTTTAACTGAATCAGTACTGTTTTGTTGGTTTTTTTAAAGCAAGTTGCAAATTTACTCATAGATTATAAGTATATAAAATATGCATGTAAAAGATTAAAAAGGAATATTTGAAAAAGCTGTTGTATTAAGTTGTTAGTATTAAATATGATTTGTACCCATGTGATCTCTTTGCATTAATTTTATAATTAAATAATGATAAATTGGTACTTGAGAAAGTTCAGGTCAGATTTCAAATAGAAGGACTCAGTTGTATCAAGGTAAACACACACCAGAGGGCAACCAACAGAAAGCAGACAGTACATGAAATAAATACATGTATATGCAACAGACAAGGACCTCATTCTAGGGAGTGTAAAGAGTATTTCATTTTCAAAGAGTAAAAAATATTCAGGATGGATTAAAGATGGCGACATGAGAGGTGAGACAGAGGCTTCTTCCTAAAACCGCATGTAATACAAAAATATAATTAATAAAACTAACCCTGAGCGAGCAACAGGAAAGAGGACTGTGCCAGACTGCATACACCTGGAGAATAGAACAGACCTCACGGAATAGGGTAACGTACCAAAGCCATGGCCCAGCAGGACCCAAGCCATTCCCCCACCCCAGCTCACCAACGGGAGGAAGAGAAACTGAGCGGGGAGGGAGTGGAGGCCTGGGACTGCTGAACACCTAACTCTGGAGATGTGCTCTGGGAGCACAAACCTACATTTCATGGTGCTTTCATGATACTCTCGTGATTACTGGGTTGGAAAGCTAAGACAGGCAGAATTCCTGGAGAGACTGAGATTCCAGCCGCTTGTGGAAAGCAGGAATCCATATCCGGCTTCTCTGGGACAAAAGCCTATACCTGTGTGCTCAGCCCACTGGTTCAGGCACTGGAAACAGGCGGCCGGGAAGCAGGAAACAGCTCTTTCCTTCCCCCAGGCACCAATCCCACTCCTGAACAACCCCCAACATTGCTTCAGGGGCTGAGCAGCTTCAGAGAGCAGAGCTTCTGGACACTAGAGGGCACCATATACAAATATGAAACTCCAAAGGAACCTGGTGCAGAGTAAAACTATTAACACAACTGCTAAGAAAGATTTAAATGACATGGACCTCATGACTCTTCCTGAAAGGGAGTTCAAAATAAAAATCATTAACATGCTCATGGAGGTACAGAAAGATATCAAGAACTCAGGAATGAATTCTGGCCAGAGGTCTAGTCATTGAAGAGCACAATGGAGGGTATTAAAAGCAGATTGGATACAGTGGAAGAGACAATAAATGAAACAGAAACTAGAGAAGAGGAACACAAAGAAGCTGAGGCACAGAGAGAAAAAAGGATCTCCAAGAATGAAAGAATAGAGAGAAACTGTGTGACCAACCAAATGGAACAATATTCACATTATAGGGATACTAGAAGAAGAAGAGAGAGAGAAAGAGATAGAAAATGTCTTTGAGGAGGTAATTGCTGAAAATTTCCCCAATCTGGGGAAGGATATAGTCTCTCAGGCCATGGAGATCCACAGATCCCAACACAAGAGACCCAAGGAAGACAACACCAAGACATATAGTAATAAAAATAGCAAAGATCAAGGATAAGGACAGACTATTAAAAGCAGCCAGAGAGAGAAATAAGATCACATACAAAGGGAAGCCCATCAGGCTAACATCAGACTTCTCAGAAGAAACCTTACAGGCCAGAAGGGAGTGGCATGATGTATTTAAGGCAATGAAGCAGAAGGGCCTCAAATAAAGACTACTTTATGCGGCAAGATTATCATTTAAACTTGAGGGAGGGATTAAACAATTTCCAGATAAGCAAAAGCTGAGAGAATTTACCTACCACAAACCTTCTTTACAGTGTATTCTGGAGGGACTGCTATTGATGGAAGTGTTCCTAAGGTTTAATAGCTGTCACCAGAAGTAATAAAATCACACAGTAAAGAAAGTAGAACAGCTAATTACTAAGCAAATGAAAAATTAACTATCCCCAAAGTCAATCAAGGGATAGACAAGCAGTACAGAATATGATACCTAATATGTAAAGAACGGAGGAGGAAGAAAAAGGAGGAGAAAAAGAAACAACCTTTAGATTGTGTTTGTAATAGTATATTGCGTGAGTTAAGTTAGACTCTTAAATAGTAAGGAAATTAACCTTGAACCACGAATCTAAAGTCTGCGATGGCAATAAGTACATACCTATCAATAATAACCCAAATGTAAATGGACTGAATGCACCAATAAAAAGACATAGAGTCACTGAATGGATAAAAAACAAGACCCATCAATATGGTGCCCACAAGAGACTCACTTTAAACCCAAAGACATACACAGACTGTAAGTGAAGGGATGGAAAAAGATATTTCATGCAACTAATAGAGAGAAAAAAGCAGGAGTTGCAGTACTTGTATCAGACAAAATAGACTTCAAAACAAAGAAAGCCACAAGAGACAAAGAAAGACATAACATAATGATAAAGGGGCGAATCCAACAAGAAGATACAACAATTATAAATATCTATGCTCCTAGCACAGGAGCACCTACATATGTGAAACAAATAGTAATTGAATTAAAAGGGGAAATAGAATGCAATGCATTAATTCTAGGAGACTTCAACACTCCACTCACTCTGAAGGACAGATCAACCAGACAGAAAATAATTAAGGACACAGAGGCACTGAACAACACATTAGAACAGATGGACCTAACAGACATCTACAGAACTCTACACACAAAAGCAGCAGAATACACATTCTTTTCAAGTGCACGTGGAACATTTTCAAGAATAGATCATATACTAGGCCAAAAAAGGGCCTCAGAAAATTCAAAAAGATTGAAATTGTACCAACCAGTTTATCAGACCACAAAGGTATGAAACTAGAAATAAATTACGCAAAGAAAATGAAAAAGCCCACAAAGACATAGAGGCTTTGCAACATGCTCCAAAGAATCAATGACCAAATAAATACAGAGATCAAGAAATATATGGAGACAAATGACAACACTAATTCAACACCACAAAATCTGTGGGACACAGCCAAGGCCGTGCTAAGAGGAAAGTATTTTGCAATACAGGCCTACCTCAGGCAAGAAGAAAAATCCCATATAAGCAGTCTAAACTCACAATTAATGAAACTAGAAAAAGAAGAACAAATGAGGCCCAAAGTTAGTAGAAGGAGGGACATAATAAAGATTAGAGCAGAAATAAATAAAATTGAGAAGAATAAAACAATAGAAAGAATCAATGAAAGCAGGAGCTGGTTCTTCAAGAAAATAAACAAAATAGATAAACCCCTAGCCAGACTTATCAAGAAAAAAAGAGTCCACACACATAAACAGAATCAGAAATGAGAAAGGAAAAATCACTATGGACACCACAGAATACAAAGAATTATTAGAGAATACAATGAAAAATTATATGCCAACAAACTGGATAACCTAGAAGAAAAGGACAACTTTCTAGAAAAACACAACCTTCCACGGCTGACCAAGGAAGAAACAGAAAATCTGAACAGACCAATTACCAGCAATGAAATTGAACTGGAAATCAAAAAACTACCTAAGTACAAAACCCCTGGTCAGATGGTTTCAATGCTG